GTTCAAATTCTGCATTAGTGAGCTTCCCTAACTAACCAGAAAATCCAGGAAAAAAGCAAGTGTTTTCCTACAGAGCTCTGGGTTCAACATAAAATTGCAGGTTTGGTGTCATCAGATTATGGGATTTTTCTAATTGCTCTTTTAATTTCTATCATTATTCTACTGCTATATTATCCACATCAGTTCCCTTTTCAATATCGCTACTGAACCAAAGAAGTTGTAGCTTGGAATGCCAGTTCAGCCAAAACTAAAGATCCTACCTGTATATAGAAAGATGCACATAGACTGTTGGACCTCAGAATTCAGTACTCAGTGTAAAAAGAGACTGTTTGATTTTCCAAAGAGCTGAGAGGCCCACAGCTTTCACAGCTGGTGACCTAGTTTGTAAATGATGGTCTCTGTGTTAAATATATTAAATGAAATTTTAGCATTGATTTATATTTTATGCTATGCTAACACTTTCCCTTGTTGCCTTCCCTAAAGTTTTCTAAGCAGTGACACCACTACTTTGAACTCAAACGTACTTTTAGATGTCATCAATATTCAAGTCCTTCAGTACTATCCTTTACATTGTTTCTCAAGTTAAAGCCCATTCATTCTTGGGAAAACAGTAATCCATGTGTTGCCTTCTGCTGTGTTACCATGATCGTTTTCATTTATAATACAATAAATGAAAGGTTAACAATTCAAAGCTTGTGTTACTTCATTTTCTCCCTCCTTTTGTTCATTTGCTGCCTTATAAACAGTAAAATCTCAGTTTATTTGGAGGAAATCTGTGGTCATCTCACAGAACCACCATTCTACTTTGTGGTACATAACAAAACTAAGGAAGATTGCATTAAATGCCTACACTTAAAAGCTGAGATCTGAAGAGTCCTACAAAAGTGGCTTTGTGCTGTAATGATCAAAGTACAGATTCGTCTGAAAACCCATTTATACATTTATTGTCAGGGGTAAGGAGGGGAGGCAACAACAAAACAAGTAAGTTGACTCTCTAACTAGGGGAAAAAAAAACCAAAAACAACAAACTAAACCTTTCCTCATGTTTTCTGAGATAGGAACTCTTCCTGGGTGTCCTGTAAGCTGGTTCTGCTCTCTCTTGCCGGTTCCCTTACATCTTCTATGTAAAAATAATGCAAATACATCCTCTTCTACTCCTGATTGGACTCCTCCCTGCAGTGAAATGGCAATTACCCAGGACTTGCACAACGCCTGCATTGCAAAGGTAGCCTATGGCCTAGCCTTAGGAAGAGCACAGTTTAATACCTTGACTGGCACAGGAAGAAAAAAAAAAGGAAGAGAATAAGGAAGATCATAAAAGGAAAATGTTCTGTTGAAAGCTACCATCAGAAGAATTCAGTTTGAAGGCAGAAGCCTAACAACTTTTCTTCTCTGAACACTTTCAAAACAGATAAGCAACAAGTTGCGCCTCCTAAATTAATTTTTTCCAGCATTGAGAAGCATTTTCCAAAGAATTGAGGACCTTTGCCTTTCTTTGATGCTCCTAATGATGTTTGTAATCAATAGTTTCTACGTTCAGGTAAAAAGTTCGTGGTGTAACTCAATCACACAACTAGAAAGAAAGGTAACTTTATGCTCAGTATCCAGAATATCTGATAGGTTGACTTTTCTTTCTCAAAAAAAATAGAATATCTGAATTGGATCTGCAAGAGAAACAAGGAGTCATAGGAACAGATGTGAAAAACACAAACATCCCTTTCGGCTCATGTATGTTTCTTGTTTACAGTATCCCAGCCACTATGGAGATGAGTGACATGTAGAAATGCAGACAGACAGATAAAGAATGTTTTCTTTCTTGAGGATGATTCAGTTCTTACACTTCATTGGCATGATGGGTTAGGCAAGTACCGCCAGCATGCACAAGCCTTGAGTCTTCCTGATAAGAGATGTCAACCATCTGCTTTCCTATCAGGTGGCTGAATCAGAGACGCCTCTTAACACCTCTCCCTCTCTCATATTACCTCTTGATAAGCGTGAATCAGGGAACAAATTAATTGCTTCTTACCTACACCAAGTGAGACCTGAATAAAGGCATGGATGGGAGCAAGATCCAAAGGTGCACACACACCATGTGAGTCTGAGATCAGCCGCTCAGACATCTGCACACACACGTCCAACGTCCCTTCTAGTCATATATTTGTGCTCATGTCACTGCAGTTTTAGCATACTTAAATGTTACATTTTTAATCCTGTTAAACTAAGAGTAATATTCTGAGAATTCAAGGTAATGCGCAGTTGTGTCTTGCATTTCCATTTGTGCTTCAGTCTATGTTAGAAGAGCTGAAAGAAGCTTAATCAAGGACAAGCATAAACCATGCTTTTAATTCACAGCATAAAGTTTGTAAGAGAGACTGCAAGTTTTTCTTCACGTAACTTAGAACATACTGAGTATGCTTGGTAAATACCAGAAACATACTCCAGTTACAGAGTTTGAGGGAAACTAATCAATACCTAAACTTCATTATTGTTCAGGAAGAACTCTGCTCTCATTAATAATATGTAAACTCTAATGTATAAAGAGTTAGAATAAGGACAGTTTCTTACTATCTTCCCCATTACATAGGTCACTCTGAGAGTAACACATTTATTTACACAGACACCACAAAGAGCACAATAACACTATTTAATGGAGTCAATCCTCATCTATAAAACACCATTTTTTGACATGGTCAACACTATTAGCTATGCATTTTCATCAGCAATGAACAAGAGCCTGCACACCATGCTTATAAATATCCAAATGGCTGTCTGGAACTTCACTTTGTCTTTCATGTCACTGTGGCCACTGCTGAAAGGCACCACCCACCACCTCACTGTGCTCACATTCACTGTTTGGTCTCCGCAAAATGAAAGAACACTGTGTGCACTTACAGCTCAAAAAGGAAACGGTATCCTGGGCTCCATCAGAAGAGGGGTGGCCAGCAGGGACAGGGAGGTGATTTTCCCCCTCTACTTTGCTCTTGTGAGGCCCCATCTGGAGTACTGCATCTAGGTCTGGAGCCCTCAGTACAAGACAGACAGAGAACTGATGGAGAGAGCCCAGAGAAGAGGCACAAAGATGATCAGGGGACTGAACCTCCCCTACAAAGACAAGCTAAGGGAACTGGGCTTTTTCAGCCTGGAGAAAAGAAGGCTGTGGGGTGACCTCATTGCAGTCTTTCAGTATCTAAAGGGAACCTACAAACAGGAAGGGAATCAACTCTTCGAAAGTGTAGGTAACAGGACAAGGGGAAATGGCTTTAAGTTGAAGGAGGACAGATTTAGTTTGGATGTCAGGGGGAAATTCTTTACTATGAGAGCTGGAACAGGCTGCCCAGAGAGGTTGTGGATGCCCCATCCCTAGAGGTGTTCAAGGCCAGACTGGATGGGGCCCTGGGCAGCCCGGTCTAGTATTAAATGTGGAGGTTGGTGGCCCTACATGTGGCAGGGGGGTTGGAAATTCATGATCCTTAAGGTTTCTTCCAACCCTGGCTGTTCTGTGATTCTATCTCCATAAACATTCAGCAAGCATCGGCGTGTGCCATTTTTCCCCCCCCATGTAGGTGAATTCAGTGACACCTTTGCTTCATACGCACTTCCACATCTGAAGCCATTCTGTCAGACTCTCTCTCTGCTGCCAGCTGTCACACAGCACCAACACGTAATGGGATATTGGTGGGAAGGTCCAGCCTCTACTGCCATACTACCAACATCCACCTCTGATTTGTGGGTCAACATAATATAATAGGAGACACTACTTTTGATGTGGCCCTTGCACTATCAGTTTCAAATGAGGAATGGTGACTTTAATTTTCTGTTTTAGAAACTGACATGATTAAGTCAGCAAATCAAAAGAGAATTTTAAATACATAAACCTTAATATCTTAATTTGCTCTTTCAGTCTCTTCTGGCTTATTTCTCCCATCAATTAGTGATTTACATATCACCCTTTCCATCCCCTGCCTACTGCTTCTCAATTTCTCTTTTTAAATTCTCCAACCACTGTGATCTTCTGGTCTCTGACTTCTCTTCTAGCAACTCCACAAAGATGTCACTCCTGAAAACACCCCAAGCATTATGTGACAGAAGGGAAACAACATTCTCCACCCTGTCTTCTTGTATTACTTTGTGAATGACTGGCATATCATTGTGCGCTTTCAATTAAAATCCTTCTTCAGCTCTCACAAAGCTGAGACATTGTGCAGTGGTCTCTTGCAACAACCCTAATAAATACTCAGGCTCACTCTTACATATCTAACAAGCAGAAATCAGGATTGTTTTGCAAGAAATACACAATTTTAATGAATCTGTAAATTCCTCTTCCTTCTGTTTATTCCCCATGTTCCATCAATTACTTTTCCCTGTAGATTTTATAAGATAGAATACTTCCAGACTGTTTTGAATGTGCTAAGTCTCTGTACTGCACACAGGAATTTATGTCCCTCTCCCATATGAGCTGGCCGGTACAGCTGTCAGAGTTACTGCTTCGCTTCAGCTCTAGAAGCAACAGTTCACTCCCACGCAGACGTGCCCATTTTCTTGCACATGCACAGAGCTTCATTTACATCTTTTATCACACAGACACCTGGTCTAATCAACACAGTCCAGATGCCTCAGTTTGCAAGGAACATTCGATGAATAAAAAGAATGAAAATCGCAGGCCTTTTTGAGTTACCCCCCAGGATGAGCTAAGCCTTGGCTGTCAGAAATGTTTCCCATGCCAGAATTTCATAGAGATATTTATTTTTACCAGGCATATTGAACTTTTTTTGTTTGGCATGAGAGATCCTGCAAACTCTGCCAGAAATGGCTGTTTTTCTTCTCTGCATCATTAGTGAGGCAGCATTCCAGCTTAGAAGGGTCACTCGCTTGGTACTTAAGTATTTTTAAAGATGTCCTTTCCTTCTTGAAGAGATAATGGGAACAAAAGCTGAAGGAGAGTCTGTCTCCAGCTTGACATAAAAAACAAACAAACAAAACCAACCACACCAACAAAAACAGATTTGCTTGCTAACACTGAGCTCAAAAGCAACCAGAGTTTGGTCAATGTATTTACTAGACATTGCAACTGTAGCATATGACTTATGACTACCTTTAATTTTAAAATGAAGATTCAGCCTCAGTAAGTCACAGAGCCTGTCACAATCACGTTCCCTCCTCGCATGCAGATCACCTACAATTTAGAACTACTCCCATGACAAAGGAGTAGAATAAGGTTTCTTTTTCCCCACCTCCCCCAAGAATTTGTATTTTGAATGTACCAATCTGTGAACTCAAGCCTTATCCTCAGATGAACATGAAGTTTATTGACATATAGACTTCAAAATTAGATCAGACCTGTAGTTTCTTTCATTTTGTTCATCATTTTAAAGGGCAAAAAATCTCTGCAATCCAGATTGCGAAGTAGGTAAGCAATAGTAAAGAAGAAATCATGATTGTACAATATTCACAGTATGGTTTCCTGCATGCTTATGACACCTAACCAGTTAAGTAAGTGTATACTTGACTTTAGAGTTCCAGATACAATTACAAGTGCCAAATTAAAGTCCATTAATGGTACAAATGATGGCTACTTGAGAGAGCTGCTGCTGTCATCAAGTCCTATCATTAGCTGGGAAATACTCTTGTTTCCAAGCTTCATTGGCAGATGTTAGCAGAGAGAAACTTCATGAATCTCATTTCTCTGAAGTCTGTTGACCTTAAGAAACAATTTAAGTCCCATCTGTTTGCCTATGTTTTACCCACAGAAATAAATCAGTATTAATACTGCATTATTAGAGAAAAAAAGATTGCTTTAATTGTTATGCTAAGCCTTTGGTTTGCTGCTTCTGAATGAGGTAACAGTTCATTCAGTTTGGGAAGGCTCAGATCAAGATAAACATGGGGAGTACTGCAGCTTTCTCTGTAAATGTCTTGAGAAATCAACAATATGAAAATACAGATTTCCTCATATAACTTCACTGTATCTGTGGCTGACCTTCTAATTTAAGATAACCATATTCATGTGTTCAGAGAGTTTGATCATAATTCATAAATACAATTACTAAATCAGAAATTTATTGGAGGTTTTCATGGTTTTACAAGTGACTCATAAGTGAATCATCTGTGGCATCATTGATTTTTAAAACGTCTTGCATAATAGAACACTAATTCACAACATTTCCAATTAATTACATGGAGAATAGCATGTGAAGTTTTTATTCTCCACTCATTCAGTTCACACTCCACAAACTCTGCTATTGTGCTTAAGATAATAGATCATCAACAAAAATTGACACTTGTTTGTTTTCACCCAGTATCTGATTTGTTTTCCAGGTATTCTTGGATAAATTTTTGTTATCCCACTAGTAATTTTGCTGATGTACCCATTTTGTTGATCTATGGGCAAATGCAGAGGCCTCAAAAATACTAAGCACCACTAAATACCCAAAAGCTAATTCCTGGGCAATATATGTACTTAGCTAGTTCTTAAAATAGGACAATGCTATGGACACTCAAAAGATAAGCAGAAAAGGCTAGAGAAAGTTTTCTAGTGTTTCTTGTAAAACTCATTTACATGCATACAAGTCAGATGCAGGACAAGACTGAAGACTCCTCACAGCCTACTTCTTCACGTGTTGCACTTGTAGACCTTAAAGCAATACAGTCTCCAACTGCCTCCTTCAGAAAAAAAAATAAAAGGGAAAGCTAAGTTTTCTGCCTTCAATACTTCTAGACTTTGATGTAATTACTTTAGCAATAATTGTTGTAATTCTAAGCAAATAAAATATTTCATCCCCAGAAAAAAAAAATAATAGAAGCCAGACAAAATGACTCAGTCTGTTTAAAATGGGGTATATCCTCTGGAATTTGTTGCTTGATATCTAGTCCTGTTTATTATTTTATATAATATCCTCTGTGAAAGAGGGGCTGTTTCTCAGGAGAACTTTGGCTAATGAAAATATTTCAGATCAACTTCAATAGTACCATTTAGAATCTGGAACATAAAACCAGAAAGGATTAAGCTACACAATTAATATACCAGGCTCAAAGTATGTGGGAATGGAAGAGAATAAAAACATAATCTAAACTACATTGCTGAGAAACACAAAGCTGATACAGGAAGGATTTTTCCAGTCTACGCATCAAAATTTAACAAAGAAATTATAGCCTTAAAGAAAAATTTGAACTATACCACTGGTTATTTTCAAATTTGTGGTCACAAGGACTCTTACATAATTACACTAGTCCAGTTTACCTACAGGTACTATTTCTGAAAGCCTACTTAAACCAGACTTAGAGGGGAGCTAAGCTAAATAAAATGCAATGCTGGTAGACAAAACCTAGCAAATTTAGTTAAAAAAAAAAGTAAGTCCAGGGTGGATAGGAATCCTGAGAGTCTACTCCATACATTTGCTCTGAAGCGAGAACCGTACTCCTGATCATCTCCCAATGGGTTACTGATAGAGAAAACTGCTATTTTCCACTATCATTCTCTCAGAAGGGCCTGAAAGAACATTAAATCCCTGTTAAAGGATTCCTCTTCCCAGAGCAGCTATTAAGCAAATGCTTTCCACTGATCCAGAAAAGCCTTCTCAATTTAAAAGAGCTTTTTATTAAAAGGCAATACTCTTGAGTTCTAAGATTAATATGAGGAAACAAACTTAACATCCACAGCCAAACTGGCAGCTTTTCTCCCTTTTCAGGTCACGAGTGTGAGAGACCAGGTAAGCCTTAGGGCTGATCTGTTACGTCACCTAATCCTGACTCTAGCAAGTCCAGAAAGGAATTACAGTAAACAGGAAAGTCTAAAAGGCTTCAGAAATGACACAATGTGTTCATGTAGTTTTCTTTGAGGTACTGACATTCAGGTGCTTCTACTACTGAAACTTATAAATACCACAAATGGGTTTAGAGTCCAAAAGGATTCCCTAAACTGGTTTAAAGGAAATAATGAAGTCCAACCCACAGAGAAACTGTAACAACAAAAAAAAAAAATCCCAGAAAAAAAAAAAAAAAAAAGAAGAGATATTATGGTGTAGTATTTAAAACCAGACTTCAAAAGCCTCTTGTAAATGAGTGCTCCAGATAACAATCAAGGCAAAATTGTTTTTTACAGAAATGGTGTAAGCAACAAAAAAGAAACAGTGCACAATTTGTAAAATGGTTCCTACCAGCTCAAGAGATTGGCAATATAGAAGAGGCTTCTGGATTTGGCTTTTCAGTATCAGTGAAACTTCCTGGCTGACAACAAAAGACTGCTTAGGAAAACAAAGATCTTGACATTAGTTTTGAAACTGCAGGAACTGTGCTTTAAACTTAAGGGGGAGTCTATCAAATTCTATTCCTCCTTTCCAGCCGTATCCTAGAATGAGATACCTTATTGTAAAGTGCCAGAAATGCTGGACTAGTTATAGAATAGACCTCACATCAGAAGAAATATTTTCCAAAACCCAATTAGTCAATTAGCTTTGCTATGAAGAATGATAGATCGTATTCCTACCAGACATTGTACTATTTTTTGCTATGCTTTTATGTGTAATAACACACCCTTATATTTTCTCATTACAATACTATAACACAATAGAATACACAGCAATAATAGCAGGGTAGCAAAGTTATAAGTAGTAGCAAGTAAGGATAACCCCAAGTGCAACAGCCATAGTTACAGAAATAAAGGAAAAAAGCTGCTTACCCTTACAAGGCCTCAGCTACAAAGGAATCTCCAACGAGATCCACTCACCTTCACTGCCAACACTTAAGTGAGGTCTGGGAAGGGGTGGATCCTGGCTTCAACCCTTCTCATCACTCAGGTGCATTGCATACAGCTGAGCTTCCCTGAGTTGACCCTACCTTCCCTCCAGGTGCTCAATCACTGGTTCAAACTGTGACTTAGCATTTCTGCTACACTCATTCTGCTTGAAAACATCTACTTCCCTTCTGCTGAATTCCTGGCCTCAAAAATATCCTACATCAATGTGTTCTACAGTCTGATTTAATCTGGTATCAACAATCTCCCTTCTTCAGATTTATGGCCTTTAAATACACAGACCTGAATGTGCAAATTGCAAAACTGGATATAGAGAAGTTTTTAAATGAACTGTATTGTATCACAAACCATTTTAGATAACATTGTCATTTTCTGTATTATACCTGCTCTCTTTAACACAGTCTTATTTTTTGTCTGATCACTCTTCACACTGAAGTATCTCATTGTTTGTTTCCTATATTATTCTCACTACTCATCTTTTAAATATTTATATCTAAGACATATTAATTTAAAGACAGAACAGAACAAGACAAAGAGAACAGAGTGACCCAGTCAGTCTGATGGGAGGAATGTAAATAGGTTGGCTACAACATCTTATTTGCTCTTTTTTATCTCTGGATTTGACTGTGAGTAGGGGTTGAAGATGAGTTTCCAACAGCAACATTCAGCTTTTCCCCTGGAGTAAAAAGCAGGAGTAAAAGCAGGTTGTGTGCACATCTCTCTTAGCTGGCATGGAACTGTTTTCTTCAGACTGCCTGGAATGATTCTATACTTTTTGTTTTAGGATAAAAACAATGTTGATAACATGGTGATGTTTACACGATGTTGCTGCTAAGCAGTGTTATACGGAGCCAAGGCCATTTTCAGAGAAGAGAGCTCAAGGAGGGGATAGAATTAGGACATGTGACTTAACATATTCCATAACATATGATGTCATGCAGGAGGAGTTTTGAAGAGGGTGGGAGTTCATCTTGTGCTCTTTTACTGCTCAAGGGGCTAGCTGGGCTTTGGTTGGGAGGTGGTGAGCAATTGCTTGTGTATCACTTGTTACATACATTTATATCTTTATACATACATCTATATAGTAATAACAATTATCCTTTTCCTTTTTTTCTATCTTAGTAAATAGTTCTACCTCAACCTGCAGGTTTTTAGGGTTGTTTTTTTTGTTTTTTTTTCCCCTATTCTCTCCCCCATTCCATTGGGAAGTGGGGAAGTGTGCAAATAACTGCATGGTGCTCAGCCATCCGTTGGGTTAAACCACAACAGTATCTAAGCATTTTATTTAATTTCTGTTGCTTTGTATTTGTCACTAAAACACACACAACAGTTCCCAGTCCCTCATTTGGAATTTCTGGGATTACACCCTGGGTTGGGATTTTTCTATTGCTGATGTGAGAAATTCCAAAGGTATTTGGAAATTTTGGCCCCACCAGCTTCTGGGGAAGGGGCACTCAGCAGGGCCGGTTCCTGTCGTGGGACAGGGCCATTCCCTGAGAAATTCCCGGACAGACAGAATGAGCAGAAGGGGCCCCATAGCTCAGGACCTTCTGCTACTTCCCACTTTCCTGTGAACAACGGGCAACGCCTGATGCCCCCCATTCCTTCCTCTCTAGAGCACCAGGGTTGCAAAACAAACTCAGGAGCAGAGTGTGCATTACTGACAAGACTGATGTAACTGCACGGGGCCTCCTTGGTCACTGCTGGCCCTGCTGGCCCATAGCCTTACGTGTCACTTTGTCTCTTCAGCCCTTTTCCCTCTGTTGAGTCGCCCGGCCCTGGAGCGCACAACCCTCACCGTCACTCACTCCCTCCCTCAGTGCCAGGCCGCCACACCATCCCGGGATCCCTCCTCAGGACCAGGCTGCCCCGCTCCTGCACAGACCCTTCCCTCGAGCTCCCTCCCTTCCCGCCTCTCGCAGCCCCGCGTCGAGGCTGGCCGTGCCCGGCTCCGCGGTGCCGCTTTGGGGCCGGAACCCCGGCGGCGCGAGGGCGCGTTCCCAGCCGGGGCGAGCGGAGGAGCAACGCCGGGCCTGGCAGCCAGGAGCGTCGGGCGCCTTGGAAACGGACGGAAGCCGGGAGGAGGCGGCGGCGGGAGGATGCTGAGCCCCGAGCGGCTGCCCGGGCCCGAGTACCTAGGTGAGGAGCGGGGCAGCCCGGGCCCCCGGCTGCGGTCCGGCGTCAGAAGGGCTCGATGGGGCAGGCTGCGGCCCGGCCTTCCCAGGGAGACGCGTGCCGGCGTCGGGGCCGCGTGTGTGGCGAGCGGGTGGCGGGAACTCGGCGCCCGCCTCAGCTCGGCCGGGGAGCGGCTCCGCGGGCCGGGGTCTCCCTGAGGGGGCTGCGGTCTCACTGATGGCCTGAGGAGAGCGAGCCGCTCGCTTCTTCAGCGTCAGAAACGGTGCTGCTCTTCGGCTGTGAGGGGGTCGGAAGGTGGGCTTTTCCTCTGAAATGATGTTTCCCGCTGATCTCTTTGTGCCACGTAAGATAAAAACCTTTTATCTTACAAAGCAGCCGCTCCCCTGTGGGCTGCATCCCTTTGCTCTGGCAGTTGGTGTTACCTCTACGCCTTCCAGTGAACTGAAGGGCGAAGTGATGAGGTGTTATTGTGTCAAGTGGAAGGTAATTATGAAGGAAAGAAATCAATATGACGTCACTTAATTGCTAAAGAGGAGATGAATTGCAAGCTGTGAGCGTTTGGAGTGCATTCAAATCAATGTTTTTGAAGTGAGACTCTTCAGCCATTACCTTCTAGGCCCGAGAGGCTGTTTGCTAATAACTGTTATTAAAGTATACTTAATTTGCTGTGGCTTTGTTGTACAAGGAAAGGTAAGAAATGGTGCATGTTGGTTTGCATTACATGTTTCAGCATGGTTTTGCTGTCTCTGCTAAGTCAGAGTGTAAGAGAGCTGGAGAAACATTGTGGCTTTTATTAAATGGAAAGCTACTGTTGCAGGGGAAGGCTGAAGCAGCTGTTTCTTCAGTCCAACATTAGGATCCGACTTCCCTTTCAGAGTGCCCCACAGCAATGAAGAGGGCTGAAGAGTTTAAGCAGAGGGGTGATCTACATCCACTTGGAGTAGAACCTCTGCAGTTTTGCTACTAGACTGCTGGTAGGTGCTTTGTACATGCCTACATAACCATACTGCTGTTCTGTGCTACAGAAACTCAAGGCAGGAAATAGGAGTTCTAGCTCTCTGCACAGGGTGATTCTTGAGAGAATTATGGATTTCAACTTTGGCATTTGTTCAGGTATTTGAGAGCAATATTGCAGCATGCCATTTAGATACACCCTTCAATTGTGTGTCACTCTGTTATACTACATCAGCATTTTCAGCCTACGCATTAATAGAGACACTCATAACTTTTCCACAGAATTGCTCTAGGCTGAAACTTACAAAATTTCTTTTTTCTTTTTCTTTCTGTAACAAGCCAACTTGGTTTTGGGCTCATTTAATTGTTTTTAATGAAATAGGTGCTTAATTCTTTCTTGTGTGAAACTTGTCAGTTCGGATTGAAACAACCAAAACAAACTAGGAACCAGACTACTAATTCTTAAAGTATAAGAAATAACCAGTTTCCTGTTTTTCACCTAAAGTTGAGGAGCATGACTTTGGAGACGTGTGCAATGTTGTGCAAGCAGCTCTATTAGCCTACATGAAGTGTCTTCTTCGCTCTCTATTTCCTGATCTATCACTTTTTTTTTAAACACGTAAATTTTTCTAATGTTTGGATTAGGAAAAGACTCATACAAGTACGCGGGTAACCTGATTTAGCTGTGTACATCCCTGTTCATTGCAGTTGGACTAGATGACCTTTAAAGGTCCCTTCCAGCTTTAAGGACTCTGTTGGATGTCAGATTGAGAAGTAATTGTCTAAGAGCTTGTTTGGTTGATCATGTAGGGAGGGCATCCTTTTGTTTAAGTTGCAGTCTATCCTCTTAGAAAGTGTTTGCTATGCTGGGATATTTTCACTGGCTATAAATGTTATCAGGAATTTTTTTTTTTTTGTCTTCATGAGGCTGCTCACAGATCTTATGAAATTAATTCTGCCTTCATAGTAGGTAATCAACAGAAAGTGTGTTCATAAGATATTTTGTTTTCTACATCACCCTGGCATTCTGATATCACTGTTACTTGGTTTTTCCTCTTCTGTACCTCTAAGTCTTGTTAATATAGTTGTCTGTTGTGGGATTGTAAGCAATTGTGATTTTAAAAAAGTTTCACATTCTATAATTTCATTCTGAAATTGCTGCCCCAGGCTGTCACATAAGATATTCTTTGAGTCTCCTAGCTTGGATGGCACTCTTTTCTCTCCTGATCTGGAATGAGCAAGCTTCACCTAGCCTCTTTTCTGCCTTTTCTTTTCTCAACACCCAAAACAGGCCAAATGAACTGAGTGGCCAAAGTAGCATTTTGTGCTACTTGAGGTATTTATTTTTTTTCCCCTCCATTTGTAAAGGGCTTTTTTGTGTCCAGTTTGGATGCTAAGAGGACAATACACTCTAACATTCTAAGGAAAGTAGAAGGAGTTGTGAGTTAAAATAAAAATGAATCAGGCATTCACTCAAGATAAAAAATAACTGCAAATTTTTGGTACAGAGAAGTTCCTGGGAAATGCAAATCTCATGCCATAGTGACTGTGAGACAATAGGTAGAAGAACAGAGACAACTAGAATTCAGTTAATAGGAAAGGAGTTGAAGTCTGCAAAGATGGCAGGAAGGCTGCGGGGAAGAAGCTGTAACAAGGAGGATATTTAAAACAGCATTTTCACTGAGTAAACAATAGTTAGTGTTTGGGGATAGTGATGAAAATGTGTTTTACGTTTGATGGATGAGACTAGAGCAACAGTAGGCAAAATAAAGCTTATTTGAGAAACTTTTCCATGCCTTCCTCATTATGGTTTAATAACTGGTGATTGCTCCATTATTTATAACAGACTCAGAGCACTCAGTTTATTGTTCTACTCATGCAGC